ACTACACCTATGACATGGTGTCTTAGTTATTCTTGAAGTCCTATTAAATGTAATCACACGAACAATAATAATTTAAGAGATAATTTTTAATATTTTTTTTCTATAAAACATGGTTATATTTTACCATTTTGGGAGGGGGAGGGGAGACTTCAGCCCGAAAGCCCCCTCCCTCGTAAATTCGCCTGTGTCTCAAGTTGTGTAAAGAAATTATGTGATTTTCTATCCAGTCACCTAAAAATATCCAATTTTTTTGCAAAGATTACAACAATTAACTGTTGCAAAGGTTTTATTTATTAATTTCTGGTATTGTGGGATATTTTAATAAACATAATTACCTAAAAACCCATTTCATTTGTAAAAATAACAAAATTAAAAACTATGAGTTTTCATGTAAGGTGGTTATGAAATTGTGTTTCCCTTCAGATTTCTGTCATAATAATTGGTGCGTATTTATAAGTGACAAACTTAATGTTTCAAGCCCTAATATTTACGTTTCCATAAAAATAATTGACACAATTAGGAGGTTTCTTCATTTTACAACAATAAGTTTGTCACTGATAATTACTTATCAAGTCCTATGGCGGAGATCTGGGAGAAAAATACAATTTCATAACCATTTTGAGTGAAAAATATTTGAAAAATCATCATGTTTTTTATTAATAGTACTTAAAAATACGGTTTGAAATTAATATAGCATAATTTCGCATCCATTGACAGCGCCCAAAATATTACCGTTATTTCAAACTAATAAATGAGAGTTGGTATAGCATTCTCATGATCTAGAATCTTAGCCATCTGGCCATTTGCCAATCGCTCCCCTTAATAATAGTTACAAACCAGTTGTGCAAAATCAATAAAAATTGCAAACGAACAAATATTTTTAAATTCGTAAAAATTATAAATTGATCCTTTTTTTTTTTTTTAATTTATTTGTTGAGTAATATAATACTCTATCACTTGGACAAAAATTATAGGGAGGTAAGACCACATATACACATTATATTATATATATATATATATATAGAAAAGATAAAATAACAAGTAAATAATAGTAATAAAAAGTATATAAAATAAATAAAAATAAAATAACTTAAAGATAAGTAAAATAAAAAAATAAATTAAAAACATACTGATATACCTGTACACTCTATTTACAAGCTTGGCTTGGTTACCCCAACTGTAGGGGAAAAACAATTTTTTTTTTTACATACATTCAAGGTTTACTTCAACATCGGGTAATTATTGTTTATTTCGTTTTCTTCCAGAGTAGAGTAATTAGCATAACTAAAAATTAAAAAAATATATATATATATAAAAAAAGTCGACTATATACAGCTAGTGCTACGATACTGGGATCATAAGTCTCCTAATTTATGACTAGTTTTATAATTAATATATAAATGATCAAGTCAAGTGTAGCAATTATAATTTATGATCTAGTTCTCAAAGTTAACTAATTATTAGAGTATTTGTCAAGCTGAATAAAGCATATTTAACGGGACTACGAAAATTCTCCACAGGTAATTTTTTTTTTTTTTAATGGTTTTATTGAGTATTAATAGTCTGCCACATTGAAGGGCATTGGTACTAGGGATACAGTATTCATTCACACAATATGTACATACGAAAGGAAATATATATATGTATATACATATAAATAAAAAGATAAATACATATTTACAAGATAAATAAAATAATAGATTGAAGCTGAATGATGATAAAATAAATAAAACACATTCACTATGTACAATATTAATCCACAGGTATAAAATCTATTTATGGTTCACCCTTTTGGGATAATGAACTACCTTCGACTCCTTAATTACATCCTTCTGGATTACTTGTTTTCTGATTTTTTTTTTGAAATTTTCAAAAGTCCTCTTTCGAAGATTTTTTCCAGTTTTCTTCTTTGAATATATTCTTATATGTATACAAATGTTTGACCACTACATCTTGAGGAGGAAATTAAAATTAATTAAAATTATTTATTTGTAACTATTTAAATAAGTTTATAGACGTTGGCGAATTAAATTTAAATTATTTGCGAATGCACTTTATATAGCTAACATCTAAAGTTGTCAACTCAAGCCCACCTCATCAGCCAATCCAAAAATCCGAATAGGTTCCATCCAACACCACCTTTATTTATGTTCAGGAAAAAAAAAATCCGACATATTTTGTCAGGCAACTACTTCTTCTATATTATATACATAAGATCGGGAAATTAATACACAAAAGTTTAACATATCTTTGAATTACTCTTAAAAGACGTAACATGTTTTTAAAAAAAATGCATTTTCTGTTGATAAAACTTTAGGCATAGTTCTGATAATATATTTGAATAATAGAAGAGAAGTTGGTTTGGGTGTATAGTCAAAAAGACTGAATTATTTATTTAACATCCTAACTTCTCTTCAATTATTCACTACAGTCAACCATCAATCCACTATTATGTAATTCAATAATAGGCCATTTTAAATGTCGGGCGAAGAAAAAAAAAAAAATGTGACTGTAATAATCGTTGTCTGCTTATTTAAAGATTTTACAAAAGAATTACTATAAATTTATGGATTATTAACAACTTAAAACCGCATGATTGCTAAGCGGTATCGTATAAAATGGCCAATGGTATATTAAGGCCGGTAACGCATGAATACTGTACTTAAAACGATTACGTATCAATGAACCGTCGATCACTGAGCTTCAAATCATGACATTAAAAAGTATAAATTATTATGTAAATATCAACAGAGTCAACGTAAAACGGATAGTTACCCCAGTCAAATTAGCACGAAAAAATGAGTTTGCCTTGCAAAAGGTAAAATTTCTTTTTTATATTGTTAAGTATGTAGTTAATATAAAAATCAGGTTTATCCCCATGAAAGCCTTGTAAATTCGCTCCTCCAAAAAACATTGAAAAAACTATTGTTTTTCTCCTTACTTTTAATGTCACATTTATACAACATCATTTAGTATTTATAAATGGCATAGTTGAAAATTAATTTCAATACAGCCAAAATAATGTACTGAAAACGTTATTATATTAATATAACGTTATTGTCATTTATGGGCAGTGAATGATGTCGCCTCTAAGAATGAAGAGGCCTCTAGACCTCTATGCTAGTACCGCTTTTCCGACGATCAAGTTTATTTTCTAAGTAACTGATCCAAAAATTTTAAAAAGTAATAAGTGTTTTAGAAATATAAATGTATTCTCCAGATGCTTTATTCTGGGGCATTTTTCGTTATTGTTTGGCGTTTATTTACAAACGACGCTTGATTTTCAACTTTAGTTTTGACTTGATTTTCAATTTGAAAAATTGAATTTAGGGTAAAAGCACCAGTAGCTGACATGCTTAAGGAAATTTCTTTGAATTTTTAGTTATAACAATGTGAATTATGATAATTTTTTTTTTCTTTGGGCGTCATATCTTATATTTCTACTCCCCAGCTTGCAAACTAGCTATTGAAATTGAAGAAACGTCCATCAAAAGTAAATAAAAATGGGAATTAATAGAAAAGTTTCGTTGCACCTATTGCTGACACCACAGGCGGATCTAGGGGAAGAGGGTAGGAAACGGCTTTCTGGCTGAAAGATGTTTTTTTTTATATATATACAACGATAATTAATTTGAAAAAATAAAATAAATTAACTACCTATATAAAACGATGTTTAAGTGGTTCTTGAAGTCCTATTAAATGTAATTACACGAACAAGAATACGTTAAGAGATAGTTTATAATATTTTTTTTCTGTAAGACATAGTTGTATTTTACCATTTTGGGGAGAGGAGCTTCAGCCCGAAAGCTCTCCTCCCCCCCCCCTGTAGATCCGCCTGTGACTCTGAGGAACCTTCCTGATTTAAGGCCTGATATTTAAATTATTTTGCCCGCTAAGAATAAAGCAGAATATACCAATACTCAAGGGAATTATACAGAAGGAACTAATATTTGAAATAGAGGTCTAGGAGGTCCTGAAATTTTATTATTAAAATTTTTAGAAGATGATGTCAGGCAGTGGTGCACTGTCAACTACTGGTGTTTTTTATTGCCAAGGCCTATAATTTTTTAATATTTTATTATTCTCTAACTATCCAGGTCTAATAAAAAGTCAATTATGAAAAAATTAAGACGATCTCAGTAAGCGAAAAAATAACCGTCTACCGTTCTAGTCATGGCTCATTATCGTCAAGGAAAACCTACGAATTATCTGAACGAGATTCAAAATGAATTTACAGAATGTTTTCTGTTCAAAACTGATAGAGCACTATTGTGAAGAAAGCGAAATAGGTAAAATTTGAAAGCTCGATAGTTCGCTTCCTGTTGGTTTAGAAAAATATTTTATGTACAGAAATATTAGAGAATTTTAATCTGTTTAAGATTGAATATAATCATTTTTATCTATATCTCTCTAAAAGGAAATATTTAGCCTAAACAAAAAAAAGTTTGAAATTTCAATGGTTTTTGGAGCGATGCAGCGAACCCGAAGGGCGGAAACTTGGATTTTTTATATTCACTGCATAGCTAACAATATAAAAAAGAAATTTGAATTACTCGACTTTATGCAAGCAGACGTCTAATTTGACTGGGCCAAATACAGTATGCTAACGATATTAGAACAAAGTTAAGTTGCTAGATTAGAATTATATAAATGATTAGACGATACATTTACAATGAAAATTAATTCTAATTTTATTTAATATTGTTCACTAATATTTCCAATTGAGGTCTCTTGAGTAGCAACACTGACGGACTGTAGGTGGTCTTATGGCTTTAATTTTAAATATGGCTCTTTTTAGTATTAACATTAGTTCAAGAGAAAGTCTATGAATTTACAGGTTTTATTCAGAAATTGAAAATAAAAACTATAAGAAAAGCAAAGATAAAAATTGATAGGAATCCTAAAAAGTAGGTAAATTGTAGAATCAATAGTACCGAAGTGACGAAAGAGTGCGCCAGTGTCGAGGGAGCGAGACCCGATTGAGGCTCAGTCGCCGTAAGATCATCAGACATGGCGGACGTGAACTCGCCCTCCCCGAACAAACAATTCCCGAAGGATGGGCTCGTCATTATATCTATGATGAAAGAGCTCGGTATCACCAGCTACGAGCCTCGAGTAGTCAACCAGCTTCTAGAATTCACAATCAGTGAGTATTTAAACCACCTTTTTTAAAAAAACTGGTGAAAGGTTATCTTATCAAGCGTCAATAGTGGGGGGCCAGGTTATGCTGGTGTGCCGGGCTGTTTGGGCCTTCAGTAAGGGCAAAGCTCTTCATTAGGTGTTTCAATGTCATCTTGCTGTTTTAGGGTACGTCTCTTGCGTCCTGGACGACGCCAGGGCGTTTGCCAACCACTCCAAGAAGAAGGCTATCGACAATGATGATGTGAAATTGGCAGTGATGATGCAGCTGGAAAGAGTTTTCACTACTCCACCCCCCAGAGATGTATTGCTAACAGGCAACTTCCATTGTAATTATATTATTGTGCATAAGTGATGTTTAACAATGATTTTCTGTGTATAGCTTCTACTTGAAGTCGCAAGAACAAAGAACAACATTCCTCTACCACTTGTAAAACCACATTGTGGAATTAGACTGCCACCTGACCGCTACTGCTTTTCATCCTGTAATTATAAGCTGAAATCTAATAGTTCCACCAAAAAAGCTGCGGAAACAAAGGTGAGTAATTTAAGATACATAAACCAAAACTGAAATGTTAGAAACTTCATTATGGAAATATTTTGTTTCATGACCTCTTCTGCACTGTTCATTAAGAAAGTGAATTGTAAGTGTTTTATTTTTTATGACGATGATGCTCCTATTTCATTTTTAATTTTTTAAGATGTTACTCTAATAATCCTTCACGATTCAATGAATTTAAATATCTCCAAAGAAATTCGTATTACATTATTATTTCTTTTAATTTTATTTATAAATGGTTAATTTTGATTCTATCACATGTTAGCATTTACCTATTTTAAATTGATAAATTGAACCAAAAAAAAAAAAAAGATTGCCACATTATATTTATTTGTAAAGATGTCATAGTGAAGCATATAAGTACTTTTTTAGTATCGTGTTTCAATTCACTGTGCTCATTTTTATAAATTTATATTTTCATCTTGAAATAGTTTTAATTTTTTCATCAAATACAAATTTAATTATCATTTTTAAGTTTATTACTCTTAAGCAATGACTGTTTGTTATTAATCCATATTTTACTGCCTAGACTCAATTTCAAAGATGCTATTAAATTTGTAAATTAACTTTGTGTTTTAGCCTCAGCCAAAGTTTGGTGTAAGTACAAGTAACCTTAGTAATGCTGTTAACATTAAAGTTTCAAAACCAGTGTCATCTTCATCAACACCAAGTAGCACTCCCACAGTAGGAATTAAAAGACCTCCGAATATAACTGCTGTAGCTCGGACACAACCTAGTGTAACTCCTGGAAAACCTATTATAAAGCTAACAACTAGTAAGTTTTTAAAGTAATTACACTTTCCTACTATTATTTTTTTTTTTTTTTTTTTTTTGCTTAAACCTAGTGCCTTAAGATTTTGTTTTATTTCTTTATTATGTAACAAAATATTATATAATTTAATTATTGAAATAGAATAGAATTATGGTAGACCTTAGTCCATTTAACTATATCAAGTAAAAAAAAATACAATTTAAAATTATAACTGCTAAACTATTTAGAATTATAGCTTGGGAATTACAATAGTAAATATTCAGGATATCAACATCTTATTTTTAACATGTTTTTTTCTCAGGTCCAATGATGGTAAATACAAATACAGGACAGATACTTGTAAATCCTAGTGCTTCAGGACAAGTTATGGCTAAGGCACGCATAGTCGCTGGCCCTCAGGCCGGTCAACAAGTAGAAGTCAAAATAGAGCCTCAAGATTCGTCCCTTCTAGGCAAGAGAAAGAGAGAAGATGGAGAGTAAAACGTCGATATTAATCATGTGAACTTGAATTGTTTTGTGTTTTCTCAATTTGTAACCATTCACATGTTGTCTTTTTCCATTGTACTGTTGTGATTTTCATCACAGTGTTTACACAGCATCTGAAATTGTGGTGAAATAAACATTTTGTGATTGACATTTAACAAAAAAGTTTAATTTTCGATGTTGATAGCCAGTGTGTGACTGTAGTCTAAATATTTATTTTTGAATGCTGAAAATAACCCTTATTTCCTATTTATTTCATTTGTTCGTTATTGCTTCTGGATAGAGATCTTTAGACTAATTTTGCAAACTGGCTATATATTAAAAACAAATTATTAGTAATTATATTTTTATTGTCGAGATTTTAGGATTATAATTTCAGATTATTAATACTCATAAGAATTTAAAATTGTAATATCATCTATAAAATTGCCTGTAGGTGCTGTACTGTTTTGAATTATTCTAAAAAAATGAAGCCACTAATTCTTTTAGAGTAGTAAATAAGTATGGAAAATTTGATGTTCGGGAACATAAAGATTGTATTGTAAACAAATTTTCCACTTATATTTAAAGTCTGTTATATGTTTCAGTTTAATTTAATTAAATGAATATGAATTTCCAATTTTACTATATTGAACATTGCTAATTTTTTATTAATTATAAGTTGATTAGAAGACTTATTACCTTGTAACTTCAATGGTTATATTTGGTCTTAAAACGAACGATTGTTTTATAGGTTAATTCACTAAAGTTATTTTAAGTATTTAGCCATGGTGGTAATGTCCTTAGTACCTATCTCTTGAAGATAGTTGATTAATGATTAATATTACAAATTTGGAATTGTATTTCCTTTGTACTCAGGTATAATTTTTAAGCAGGTAATTTTCATTTTATTTCTTTCATTTTGTGGATACAATATAGTTTTATATATTTTAGAAGTATTTCATTTTTCAATCACCTGTTACTAACCTTGATAGTTGAGATTGCTGTTGATAAGATATTAGAATTTAGGATCAATGATATTGATTGGAATTTGACATTTTTGCAGGGCAAATATTATTAACGATATCTTGAAAACAAGCTCTAAAATGTTGAGTATTTATCAGAAGTTCAAACTATCTTTCCCTGTTAATAAAAAATAATTAAAATTTTAGCAGTTTTTTGGATATTTAATTGTTGACCGTTGCATTATAAAGGAAGGAAATGGTCCGGAGTGGCGGTCATAAATAGTGTCAAACATTTTATCAAAAGCCAACGTTTCGACCCGACTTTGTAGGTCTTCTTCGGGGAGGTGTGTTCAGCTAGAACTGTGAAATTCCTAGCTGAACACAACTCCCTGAAGAAGTCCTGCAAAGTCGGATCGAAACGTTGGCTTTTAATAAAATAGTTTCGCCACTATTTAGGCTATTTATAACCGCAACCCCGGACTATTTCCTTCCTTTAGCAGTTTTTAATTATGGATTTGCTGAATCAGATTATTTTTATTGTTTTTTTAATGATTTGGATTTGAGACCCTCAAAGCCTTACTGTCACATGAACACTGAGCAGACAGTTTGCTGTTGTGGATAAAATTGTACTTGCCCAATAGAACAGCTTTAGAATATATATTTTTTTAAAACTATTTATTTATTAAATATTACAATATTCTGTCACTTGGACATTAGTTAGAATAGTTAAAATAATAAACAAAATATATCTCAATATTCTTTTCTTCTATTTTGGATAATATTTCAGTTTCTAATTTTTTTATTTAAGCCAACATTACACTGATGTTTTCACTTCAAAATCCTACTACGAAGTTTCGTCTTGTCGAGCTATTTACAAGTCTAAAAACAATTTTTCAATTTACAATCATATCTAATATAATTTTTTAAAATGAAACTGACAGCATCTGGGATGACACATTATATAGTAATTTAACATTATATAAATCTTTTAATAAGAATAAATTTTTATTATAATAATGTAATATAATAGTTAAAAATAGAGATGACGTGCATGATACAGGATATTATGAGAAAACCCATGTATTTTACATAAGAAATATAATGGACAAGTGCATGATAGGTAATTATAAAAAAATATATATATTTTGAAATATGGGAGTTTTTTAAGATGTATCAATGATTTTACAAATAATATTTATGGAAAACATCGGTGTAATGTTGGCTTAAAAAAAAAAAAAAATAGAAAATGAAACAAAATATTAAGCACACTTTTTTATGGTTTGCTAAAAGATAAATTTACCACACCCTCCCTCAGGTTAGACAAGCACCATCCTTTCTTTCACTGTCTTATATGGTTGTAGTACCATTTTACTGGGAGAAAGTGATCATACATCTATTGTATATTTATTGTAATAAGGGAAATTATTGTGATCGTGAAAATTTTCATATCTCAATTTTCAATGGAAATACATATTTTTAGGTCCTCTTAGTCCAAATAACCAAGCCCGCAAAATAGTCTGCGTGTGTGAATATATGTATGTGAACAGTGTAGCCCAAAAATCGTATGTAACTGAAATTAAGCATTTAAGGCTTGTACATGCCTGGGATATTACAGCAAATTTTTCATCAAAATTGGCTAACTGGAAGTGCCACTTTATATCATCTCTATTTTACAATAATTTTGAAAATGCCTAACAATTTTGATTAAATTCATTATATCAATATAAAATTAAGCAATTTTTAATATAATGTGTCTTTTTCTCATTGATGTTCTCTTATCGGATTTAAATGCATAATTTTCAAAATTTCTTCTATATTATCTTTAGTTTTTTTATTTGAAATAATTAACCATTTCACATTGGTAACTGATATAAAAAATGCATAATTTTCTATTTGTAACTGTTATATAATTATATAAAAAACAAAAAAACCTGTACTCCTACCACTCATAAAGGGTCTTGGACTCAGTTCTATTTAGAGAAAGCACTGTTTCTTGAATAACGGTTGTTGAAGGAGGTGATTTGATCGACCTACAACTCCACGACTTTGTATGTTAGATTTTCAGTTTTCCGGAAATTCATTTATAACCAGGGAAAACAATTCTCCCATTTCCTCCTTTAGTTAATTCTCAAATTCTCTCATAGTTCATATTTATTTGTCCATTTCACATCATAAGTAATAATGAAAGATCTTAAATTATTTTTAATAACGTAAATTATTGAAAAATTCCCATTAAAGCGCTGATATGTTATTGCAATGAGTATTAAATCTAATTGATTTTAAAGACCATTTAATTTTACATCTATACAAGGAATCTATTTAAAGTCGTTAGAGCCATTTTCGAAAAAATTGTAAAAATGTATAAAATCGGTTGTATAAGTCTATTTTAGCGAAAAAGTTGCTGCAACGTCCGAGGCAAACACTATATCACCAAATTTTTAAACTCAGGCTCATCGATGGCATTGGAAATCCATCAGACTGTTTCTGAACTTATCGATGAAAACCACTGAATTTACGCTCATACGCCAGATTTTCCCCCTTAATCAATTATTTAATTAAGGGTACCCACTTTATAGAGGATGGGTGTGCCACAGGAGGGTCACCCCCGACCCAGAGTCGCCCCACGGCCAATGAAACAGAATAAATAATTTTTCTGCCATGAGTTAGTATTCGAACCTGAGACCTTTAGCATTGGAAGCTCAGTACCCTACCACTGAGCTACCTCATTCTCTATTAATTATTTTAAAAGAATATAACTATCCTGTTTTACTGTTTTATAGAGTGTATATTATTCATAATATGATAAACTGGTAACTTATTTAATTATTCATCTTTTGAAATATTCATATTTTAAAAATAATTAAATGTTTTGAGCCTTACATATTTTGATTAAAATATAGCAGCCTTTCTGTCCTTGGACCCCACAGAACCACCTGTTGCTTAGTGACCCTGTGCACTTTTTTTTGAAGGGTAGGAAAGTCAAGGTACAAAAAAAATTTAAGGGACAGAAAAAATAAGGCTTATGAGTGTGAAAAGAACAAAGTGAAAACATAATTTTATTTAGGACTAAGCCCTCTTAAAGAAGTTATAATGTTCTGGTTTTAAGTAAATTTTCTGGCTTAATGTCAACTTGTCAGATATCTAGTGCCTAGCAATTACTATTTATTTATGTATGTGAGCGATTAGATTTTTTAAAATACTTGTAAAAACCTTCAAATTTAAATCAGAACAAAAACCATGTACAATTTCTGTGCTTAACTTCCATAGAGTAATGTTTGCATGGACATATTCAAGGGGACTTTAAAGATTAGGTCTAAAACCAAATACTTAAAAGAAATGGATTCAAAACTTGTCTAATTACATGCAATTATCTATAACTCATATTTTATTAATGATTATAACTACAATCCTTTATTAAATGAGAAAAAATATTAATAGCCTGTGTTTTCAAAAACATTAGTATTAGTTATTTATTCTGGTTTAGAGTTGAACTTGAATAACTTGAATATGTTAAAATTTTATATTGTTTATAGAGAACAGCTGAAAAAGGAGGAAGGAAGAGAGACTTGCTCTAATTGTCATAATTGAGCAGGATGTTGAAAAGAAATAGTTGATAACTATACAAAGCATAAGGCAAAGTACATTATTGAATATTAATAAGTTTAATGTTGAAACAGATTTTTCAATTTATGAAATCATTTAAGAATTTTAATATAACCACAGTGCATGCTTTGTTTCTATAGAAATTTTTGTGTGTTTTGTCAATAAACTAATATACTAAAACTTTGGAAAAGTACTTAGTCGAGTAAGTATCAATTATTCTCTCATTGAATTGTCTCTTTGTTTAATGCTCAGTAAACTTTCGGGCTGAAGCCCCCCTCCCAAAAAATGGTAAAGTATAACCATGTTTTACAGAAAAAAATATTAAAAACTATCTCTTAAAGTATTCTTATTCATTTAATTACATTTAATAGGACTTCAAGAACCACTTAAACACCATTTCATATTTGTAGTTAATTTCTTTATTATTTTTTTCAAATTATTTATCGTTATATGTATATGAAAAAAAATCTTTCTGGCTGAAGCCCTCCCAAAATTAAATCCTGGATCCACTAGTGGTCATAATAGATAACTATATTGTAAACATGTAATTAATTGTAACTATATATTTTTTTTATGTTATAAAGACTATTTATTAATTTAACGTAAGGGGTAATGTAGGTAAGTAGAAAGTCTGGAGCACATTGAGACTCTGATAGGAGAAGCTGAGCAAATCGACCTATAAGTAAATGAAGATAAAATAAAATAGTTGATAACAAGCTAAAAATACAATCCCAACAACAGGATCTGCTCAGAAGAAATTACAAGTAAAGGATGTACAGTTCTGTGATACCTGGATACTATCCGGTACTCTAGAAAGAAATATTGAAATATTTTAGAAGAAAATCCTCTGCACGATAACTGGAGTAATCCATGATCAGGGCACTAATGCATGGAGGAAAAATATAAATAAAAATCTGCAAACAGAACCCGATCAGTCGATGTTCTATGATATGAAGAAAAAGAGGTTGAGATGAATTATTCCTTTAATAAATAAATTCCTCAATAGAAGGCAAAAAACCAAATGGTAGGCCAAAAATCAGATGGATAGATCGAATCATCAAAGATACTTCAGAACTGGATGCAGATAACTCGAAGGCAATAGTCTAAGATACACCAAGACAGAGAAGCCTTAATTGAAATATTTATAGATTACCTACATCTTGGATGTAAACAGAAACTATTTTGGGGTATATTAATTTTTTAATTTAAAATTTGAAGTTGCCATATTTTGAAGTGCAGTGCCCAACAGAATGCTCTGATGATGACCTACAACATTGGTCGAAATGTTGGACAATGCAATAAATATGCTAGTATATAACTTAGTATTTTTTGACTGTACCCCCGACTAATTTCTTCTGAAATTAGAAGTTACGGTCAACTATTCACATACCATTAAAATAAAATATGTAAGTGAAAGTTCTCTATCAAACTTTAGATCTAAAATTTATGAAAACTATTTGAAAATATAAATAATAATAATTAAAATAGGCATACAAATAATAAAAATCCAGGATGTGATAGCATTGACACAGAAATGCTGAAGTATGGTGGAGAAGATCTGCTAAAGGAGTAGTACAACTTGTTAAAAGTGTGTTCAAATGTTACAAATATAATGCAGATCAAATCACCTTTTCATTTATTTTAAACAGAAAAGTTTGCAGTCATAGACAGCTGAGGCAGAAAGATCCTGTGTCTCTAGAGCCAGTTTCTCCCTTTAGGCTTGTCTGAATGAAACAATTTATAATATACTCTCACAATGTATAGCTCATGTAAATGATTTAATATCAGCTAGATCAAGAAAATTTGGGGAAATTAAAAAGCAGCAATGAAATTGGGTCTCCATGTACAGGAAGAAAAGATGGTATCTAAAATTTTTGAGAAACCCACCAGAAAAAAATGACATTGAAAGACAAACAATTTGGAAACCACACTTTCAAGTATATATGCCAGTTTATGTATTTAGGAGCACTTATCACTGCAAAAAATATCTAGAATATATCAAGGAAAGGTTAATTACTGGAAATAGATATTATTTTGTTCCTCAAAGCCATTGGAGTAAAGAAACTTGACCGACTGAGCTAAGGTAATCATGGTTAAAACCGCCATAAGACTGGTTGTGTCATGTGAATATGAGACTTGAGTCTTGTTCCCTGCGTTAACCCAGCTCAGCCACCCTGCCCCCATTTAACTATGTCGTAGAGTTATTTCTTTATCAGTGACACAGCCTTGAGGGGGTTCTTAGCACAGCTCACCTTCCCTCTCATTCCTCCTGCTCCTCCCCCCAAAAATTTGTATAAGTCAGCTCCTATGGGTCTGAGAGATCAGTAGTTGTATTTTCAATATTATTTCTATATTATTGACAACGGTTTCTTATCTACCAGCAAAATGTCAGGACTGATTAGTAAATAAATATTATATAAATTTTCTGATACAAAGCAATATTCATTAACTTTTAAATTTTAAGCCATTTTATTTTGCCATTTTTTCTGTTTATAAAATATAAAAAATGTTTTATTTATTTTCCTTCTACTTCTAAAGTAAATTAAAAAAAAGACAACAAAAATTCCGTGCTGATAAACTCATACATGAAACAAGTTTTACCATTGTAGTATCTGAAAAAAATAATTTAGTTATCAAATCATTGCTTGCCTTTGATATAAATAATCACAATGATAGAAAAATAAATTTCTTTTTTCTCCTTTCTCCAATTCAAAAACAAAAAGCAAGCTTAATCTTTGTTTTTAAAATTCAATATTTGTTTTTATTTAAATATTAACTGTGGAATATCTAAATTTTTTTTTTGTTTAATTTTTTTATTCACACCTGTCATAGTGGTAATGACAACCAGTGAATGTGAGGTCATTGGAAAAAATAATGCCATGAAAGGCATTACGAGGATCAGTGCCCAGTGGCACCTAACTCAGCATGATATAAAATTAAAATTGGAATTATTTAAAAACTTCCTTTTTGAAAAGACTCCTTTTTACATATCCTCTACATTAGAAATTATTTTTCATAATTTAAATATAGAAAGGAATATGGTTATTAAGTTCCATTTCTTCTTCATCCTGTGACACTACATACTGAAGTGGTTCTTGGCCTGCTTAAACATATGTTGTCACATAGTTCTATTCTCTTGCCTCCCATCTTATAACAGCATATTCCTCTTCAATTCCTTGCCAGCTTCTTCTTAAAATCACCACATCATCTGCATATGTCATTATTTGCAGTGATTTATTTATAATTATGACATTCTCTGTAACCTGTATGTTCTTTACTACTTAATCGAATATGAGGTTAAACAGCAAAGGAGCTTGGGAATCTTCCTGTCTCTCACGATTTTTTATTCTGATGGGCTCCATGACATCTCTCCATTTGTTCTTATTTGACAGTTGGATTGCCTCATTGTCTTCTTTGTGAAGGCTATTTATAAACAACTGTTATGTGACCATATTATAACCCAGCATCATTCATCAATCCACCATGTAGCAAAGATTTTATCTACGGTGGATTTGTTTTTTCAAAGACCATAATGATATTCACCAACCACCCTGTCTTAATACAGTGCAAGTTGTTTGCAGAGTAATCCAGCAAATATCTTATATGCAACATTCAGCAGTGTGATAGCTCTACAATTACCTCATTCCTCCAGGTTTTCTTTCTTATACATCACAGTAATTACCCCACAGTTCCATTTTTCTGGCATGCATTCTTCTTCCCAAATGTGTTCTATAAGTCGGAGCAACTCTCTCAACATATTATGTTCCGTAGCTTTAAACAATTTGGCATCAATATTGTCTGTATCTGGTGCCTTATTTCTCTTCAGATAATATATTCCTTCAGCTCTTTGAATATTGGAGGGATTGCTTCTCTCCATCCATTTTCTGAATGCAGTGGGTCTTCAATTGGGGATCACATGTGTTCGGACGATTTCTCCAGCATTATTATGCAATAATTTTTGGAAATATTCTTCCCATCTCTCAATAATCTCTTTCTATGAAGTCAGGAGTACTCTCATCATTTTAAGATGGTCTTCTACTCTTAAAATCATTAAAAATATATTCATAAACATTTGCTCCCATGACTTTCTACTCATTATTTTTGTATTTCATTCACTATAGTATTGTATTAACTAAAATTCAAATCAAATTAAACATATATGAGCATTTTTCAGAAGAATTGCTTGAAACTTGAAAGGAAAGCTTGATGTAAAAATGAAACATATATAAATTTATATAATTACTTTTTATTCAAAATTGAATCATTAAAAACAAATATTCACTTACCCATTATGAACAGAGATTCTACTACTACATCGCTGACCATGGACGGTCGGTCAGAAGACACAAAGGAAGCATTATAGGGCACGACGATTGCAACATAGAAGGTGGCAATAAGAATTAGCCAGTCCCAGCAGGTCTTGAAGACACCATAATGGGAGAGGATGAGGCAGGATTTCTTGAGGGCGGCAGTCTTGTACTCAGGTAGAGTCTGTTAAAAAAAATACAGGTATAGAAAGAACCATCTTTGCATTGTAATAATAAATGTTTAGTTGAAATTAGGATTGACAGTATTAGTTATATAGGTCTTAATAAGAGACAAGATTGATGAGATAAAAGATTGCTTCTATATTTTTTTTTGTTTATAAAATATAACATTTTGGCATTTTTTTGGAATATAATTTATATAATATTGGAAGAGGAAACGGAAATTAATATTTTGGAGTTATTTGTTTGGACCAATTAATATTTAGGCTTCATGAAGAACTGAGTTGAATATATCAAAGTTTTTGAAGGTTCGATGTTTGGAGTGCGTTAGAATCAGTTGTTTACCTAAAAGTCAATGAAGAAAAAAAATCTGAAAACACATCTGTACATCTTCACATAGCAGAAAAGGATGATTAAGTGGGGTCCAACAATCCAAGGGGTCCAACTAGCAAAAGAAAGGAGACACAGAAAATGGTAAATAATAAATTAAAAGATGTAACTTTTAAATTGGGAGCGATCTGGGATCAGGGTACTGACACATGGAGAAGAAAGACCAATGAAGAAACTGGACAATCAATATCCCATGATATGAAGGCACAGAGGTTAAGATAGGCCCCTCACCTGGTAGGCAGAACTGTTAAGATGGCAAAATACCTACATGGTCTGAAATGCCAACAGAAAAAAAACTTATTTTTTTTTTCTATTGATATTACAGACCATGTAGATCTTTTGTTGTCTTAACAAGCCTGCTCCATCTCTGTCTGTCTTATGCTATTTCTTTCCATTTATCTGCACGCAGCTCTGTTGCATCTTTATTGATTCTATCTATCCATCTGCTTTTTGGCCTTCCACGTGGTCTTTTGCCCTCTATTGAGACATTCATTGTTACATAGAGGCTTCCAGATGGATTGCTACGAGCACTCATCTTAACCTGCGCACCTTCATATCATGTGATTTGATAAACCAGTTTCTGTAAGCAGTTCTTTATTGGTCTTTCTTTTCCAGGTGTTACTACTCTGATCCTAGAATGCTCCGGTTATCGTGCGGAGGATTTTTCTCTCAAATCTTTCAACAATTTTTTCTAGGGTGATCATTAGCGTCCAGGTCTCACAGCCATATATTAGAACTGGCTTTATCATAGCATTGTACATCCTTCATTTGAGACTTCTCAGGATTTTCCAAGGACAGGTATATCATCTGCATATCCAAGGATTTTATTGTATGATTCATTTCGACATGGACCATTTTCCAGTGATGTTCTTATTAACTTCTTGAGGGGTAAGTTGAACAACATCAGTGATAGTCCATCTCCCTGCCGTAAGCCCGTTCGAACTTTGAAGGCTTCAGATACTTCTTCTATTAGGTCTATATATGAGGGGTCATTTGTACACACCTTTGTCAATCTCACCAACTTACAGGAAACTCCTCGGAATCAGTTCAGTAATGATTTTCCAAAGAAAGTTCCTGTCCACAGAATCATCGGTTGCTTTAAAAACAACAAATAGGGCGTGGACGTCCTGAGTTATCTTTAAACAGTTCTGATAGTAGGTTGTCTATCCCTGGGGCATTTCTTGTTCTGCGCCTTTAGATAGCTATTTATACATTCAGTATAAATCTGTTTTTTTCAACCTCTTCTTGGTCAAGGTCCTCAGTTTTGTCCATGTCTTCTTCGTTCGTGGGATCCACTTGATTGAGAAGTTCTTGAAAATGTTTTTTCCAGATGTTCTATATCTTTTCTTTAGACGCCGTCAGAATGCCATCTTTTCTTTTCATTTGAGTATTTAACGCTTTATATCCTACCCTTTCTTTCCTAATGTTTCCGTAGAATTCTCGTATATTTTCAACATGCCAGTTGTCCTCAATGGTTTGCAATCTTTCTTTTAGAAATTCGCTTTTTGCCGATCTTATAATTTTGTTTGCTTTTTTCTTGACAGCTATGTACTCGTCCTCAGCAACTTTATCAGTTGTAGTTAGGCAGGGGACTTTCATTTTTCTTCTTTCCTCTTCTGCTTTTTCGCATGCTTCTGTGAACCACTTTGCTTTTCGTTTCTCCTGAATACCGATCACTTCCTTAGCTTCTTCTGTTAGCCCTTTCTCTATCTCCCTCCAGTGTTGGTCCACCGTTTGGCTATCCGAAACCAAGAGTTCGAATTTATTTATTTTTCAGCAAGTTGGAATTTAGTTTTTACTTCAGGATTTTTCAAATTACGGACTTTATGTCTAATTCTTTCCACGCGATCCCCGTTGTGTCCACTCCAATCTCTGACATAGTTTAAGTCTAATCAGAGTTATTCGAATCACAGTCTGCTTCACGATAGCTTCTTACATCTTGTATTAAGCTTTGATGTCTTTTTTCTACCAGCAAATGGTCTATTTGGTTTTTCGCTCCTTTGGTGCTAATCTAGATGCACTTATGAATATCGTTGTGTAGGCACATTGTACTGCTGACGACTAGACCTTTAGCTTCTGCCAGAATGATACATCTTACTCTATTGTCATTGCTATTTTCGTGAAGGTTTTTGTCCTCCGATAATTGGCCTGAATTGGAATTCTCGTCCTATCTTTGCATTGAAGTCAACTATGACTAATTTTATGTCATGTCTATGAGCTTAGTCCACAGTATTTCCAACTGATCTTTATCTTCGGTTGATGCATACACGTTGATTATCTTCTTCTTTTTTTTCCTAAGCCTGTTGACTTCGACTTTTAAGTCATAAATCTTTTTTAGCAGCTTGGATTGTTATAGGCGACAGTAGTGTTCGTTTGATTCTCCCATCTTCGACATATCCAAAGAGCACGTTGTTTACTAACCGGATGCGATCATATTTCACTCCCTTTTCATCAGAAACTTCTCTGAAGTATGGTTGGCAACTTTTGCTTCAATCTTCCGCCCAGTTTTTTATGGTATAGGAGATTATCAGCCCTATATCCAATCTCCAGCCTGGAGGACCATGAGCTATGTTAAAAGACACAGGGGTCGCTTACCTCGCTTATGTCGCTTAACAAATGACAAATGTTCGACATATAACACCATCGAAGACCCATTGCACATTATTTTAAAATGCAAGAGATATGATAAATACCGGAAGAAATACCCCCTCATCCAAAACAATGGCACTTTGCTGCAAGGGCTGGTTGATCTAGATACATATATCATTAAGTCATTGTGCAAACTTATTGAAGAATCCAAAATAGATTTTTAAAAATAAATAAATAATAATAAAGTACATCCGTATCTCCATTATATAATAATATAACGATAGGGGCAGTGTAGGACTTCAGTGGGAGTCGTGGGCCGAAAAAAAAAATCCCTAAAAAATGAAGAATGTTTCATCAAAATCAAAGAACTATTAGTAAAGATATCAGGATTATTAAATATTTTTGGTTTATTATTTTCATTAATGAACCATTGTGATCGAACAAAAAATTAAAACATTTATCTCCCTCACAAAATTTGAGGTTTTACGTTTCAGGATACGTAGAATTGGAAAAACGAATAAAAATATTAAACAAATGTTCAATTGCCATGCTCTCTTCGTGAAAGGTAATAAGCAACCTGTGATGGGGTGTTAAAGTTAAACTCCATCACATAGCCTTCAATTCTATATTTAAAAAAAAAAATAATATTTATGCAGCTGTTTCCATTTTAATTTCATAATCGTGTACTTTAATTACTTTTTTCCGCATCCATTACTAAGCATTAAAGTTATCACGTTTTTCAATTTAGTACTCTCGGTCCATTTTGCCAGGATGTAAAAAGTATTATTTATTCTGTATAAATATTCCGTGGAAATCAAAGCTTGAAAGAGAGTACTTCCCCTCCGGACAATGAGGCCCTTTCCCCGCCCAGGTAGATATGAAAAGCAAAAATATTTAACAGAGTACCATTGTACCTGACCTGGTTATCTGTATTTCCAATTTAAATGAAAAAGGGTGCTCACCTGGACCCTGGTTTATAAATAAGGGAGACCTTTTACTTTGATTAAAGGTGTAAATGCCCATTTATTCCTGCCAAAGCCTCACTTTATTGAGGAAGGGAATGAAAATCTCACTTTATTCTACTTACTGAAGTTCTTTCTCTGTCCTCTGTAGCGTTTATATCTAATGCGATTACAAAAAGTAAAGTAGTGTTTCATTTAATATAATGGTATCACCTACGTTTGCTTGAATATAACTCTGGTTTAATGTATGAATTTTATTTTTATGATACGTTATCAAAAAGTAATCTTAGAAAGGTACATTTAAAAGCGACAAAATATTCTCAAAAACTATGTCACAAATTAAATTATCCTTAATGACCTTAATGTTCCATAAGTTACTGATTTAACCCAACCAAACAGTGAACTGTTCTTTCAAAATCATTGCCAATGGGGTAGATAATGTAAATGTATAAGATAAATATAATTCTAGCAGCTTAGTTGTAGCCATTTTATAATATGCTCATCCTCAATGTAATTGCAATTGTATTTTAAAACATGTTAAAGTTATAAAAATTGCCATGAATAAAGTCTTTATTTTTTAGTTCTCTTTTAATCTCCTCTGTTAACTTTATCAAGTCTTTGAATCATACGATTTTTTATAACCTACTATTTCATCTTCTGTAAAATATAAAACAGCGAAATACCATTGATTTAAAAATAACAAAATAAACCTCTAAATGAGTAGTTAGGACTAAAATGTTAGTTTATGGTTAGTCAATGAATAATAAAGTGTACATGTTCTTATGTCCCTTTTGAATTGGACCGAGTTTGTTCAACAGTTGTGCAATTTGTATTGGTAAGAGACAATATAAGTCCAAAGCTAGGCTTGTTTGGAATTCGACTGTTTCTTCAGGCGCTTTAAGAAAATGAGATAATGTCATGATAAATGACAGGGACAAGCAACAAGAAATGGGCTTTCTTCAATAGCGGTTATTATCTCAGAGGCCATGATAAACATTTGCCGTTTGCAGTCTAACCAACTTATTTCCTCTAATCTCAATGATACTGAGAAGATTGTACATATCTTGGTTAGAATTCTTAATTCATTTTTGCTTTCTCACACTGAAGGGTATAGTATTCATGCTTTTTATTCCTGGGGAAGGTAAAAACAATGTATTGTTACAAGAATTGTCTGTATCCATTTGCGTTTTACATTCTATACATCAAAGAATAAAATTTATGTAATGTCTTCGATGGTGTTGCATGTCGAACATTTGTCATTTGTTTAAACTTTAATTGATGTCAAGCTGCGATTTGTTCGACTATGGTTAATTCTTAATCTTGTAAGTGAGACTATTTCTTTTCTGCTTAACTTAACACAAGTGTTAGAAAATTAAATACCTTTGAATCATCTTATCACAATATTGACAAAAAAGTGTATAATTTTTTATTTGTTCGGAATCTAATTTTACCTCCCTCGTAACTATTTTTTCAGCTCCTTTTCCTTAAAGTATGTTATGTAGATAAATTTAAAGGGCATCGAGAATAATACTTAAGCAAAGTTTCATTGAAATTGGTGCATTCGTTTAGGCGCTACAATTTATAGGTTTTTCGGTTACCATCTTGAAAGGAAAAGGCGGATAGAAATGTCGATGAAGGAGGATTATCCTCAGGTGACCTCTAATTTTAAAGCCAAATTTGAAAAAAAAAATCGGTCCAGTAGTTTCGTAGAAAATTCGCGGACGGCGGATGGACAAATATATCTTTATTCGTTTGTCGAATTCTACGTATCCTGAAACGTAAAACATCAAATTTTGAGAGGGGATTAATTTTTTGTTCGATCACAATGATTCACTATTGAAAATAATAAACCAAAAAAGAATTGTATAGATTCAAGTGGTAAAGAACACATTAGATTAAGATTGAGTTTTCATACATTTCTCAATTTTTCCAATAATAAAAAAAAATTCAAATTTAGCTAAAAACTTGAAATAACAATATAGTCCGTGGTACAGACTCCTTTCTATTGAATTATTAACATCCGCCTAAAACTTCGTGAATAGCTTCATCTCATCGTAGCCTACAAATATTTTATTCACAAAAACACATTGAATTGGAGCGCTTTCAATTTGGAGTTCGAAGATTTCGAATATTTGCTTTCCACTTAATCTTAAGATAATTTGAGTACAAAATCAAAAAAAAAAAAAGGTGGCCTTCAAAAATATTGCACCGTTTGGCATGACCTACACCCCCAATATATTAAAATAACGAGGTTATACTGGCCAAACGGCCTAATATTTTTGCATACCATTTTTTTTTTCTGGATTTTGTGATGAAATTATCTTACGATCTACTTGGAAAGCAAATGGTTATTTACGAGTATTTAGTACCTAATTGAATAGACAATGTTTTTCGAACCCCAGATTGAAAACGCCTTAATTCCAAGTGTTTTACAGAAACAAAGTCGTCTTGAATATTTATTTAACTTATGCAAATAAAATAATGATAAAATACTTGCATTGTTTAGTTTGAGCTTCGTGTGTTTGGGTTTGTCTTGTTTGTAATGGCCAGAGAGTTGGTACAGCACAGCTCTACTTCTCCGCCTTCCGTAGTTAACACCGGCGGGCAGTTCGTCCAGGCAACCGTTTGTTTCTGTAACAAACAAACAAACAATTCAAAAAAACAAATTCCAGTTTTCTGACTAACAAAATTAAGATACTAGTAGATTATAGTGTTTCAAGAAATTTATAAATAAATAAATTCAATGTCTTAACAGGATCTATTTTTGAAATGTATTAATTAACTTAAATCAAGCAGAAATATTTGATGTTGAATGAAATATTCCATATGAGGTTTAGAATTAAAATAGGGATTCTCAATCCAGTGCCCCCGGCCACCATCGTAATCGCATGGTCTAAATCCGAAATTGTGTCCCCTCCCCCGCATCCTTACCTGTAAAATTGATCACTATACCTGATTTATTTGATATTTCATTTTTATAAAATATCTAAGGAGTAATTTAATCAACAAATTAATTAATATAGTCGCGTTTCTTTGAAAATAAATAAATAAATAAAAAGGCTTAGCGAACCCGAAGGTTCGATGCCGACACGACCAATCGCTTATTACACACCTCCCTCCACCGTTCGCCGTCCAAACCCAGTCCCTTCAGATCGGCTTTAATGCAATCTTCCAACCTTCGCTTCGGTCTACCCCTCGGACGCTTACCATTCGGCACATCAAATATTAACCTTTTAGGAATTCTCTCGTTACTAAGTCCAACAACTTTACAAGCCCATTTGATTCGCCGCGAAGAAATTATCTCAATTATATTACTCAGATACAGTTCACGCAATTCGGCGTTGTGTAACCGTCAGAACTCTCCGGTTAATTCATCCTTCTTCGGTCCGAATATTCTACGCAATACTTTATTTTCAAAAACCTTAAGACGCTGCTCATCCCTTAATGTAAGCGGCCAAGTTTCGCACCCATAAAGAACTGTAGGCAAGATAATTGTTTTATAGATTCTAAGTTTCTTTGAAAGTAGTTACAAAATTTTAACAAAATTTTCCAGTCAAACCTCATCGTTATTTTTCCATTTTTTTTTTTTCAAGAACGAAATCAATATATAGAAATTGATAACTTTGAATTCAAAGTATCTAATATTCAGTTAGGTGCTCATATGATTGCATTTTAATATGTTGTTTCTGACCAATGCAGTGCAAATATAATATTATTTTCAACATTTATATTTCTTATTCAAGAAGGAATCTTGTACACATCAATAAATATTTATTTATTTTATTTAAAATAAAATCCTTTTAAAAGAAATCCTTTTTTATAAGTTAAAATTATCATTTCTAAAATTATTATTAAAAGTGCCAAATAATGACAAGTTATAAAGACAAGAAACGAGAACTGTTAAACATGGTGAAACACAATAAGAATTTAATATAGTGGATATACATGAGAGGAATACGACTAAACGAATTTAGAATACAAAGCATGAAGTTATAGAAGTTATAAAAAAAATTGAGCACAATAGAAATAATATAAATTGTCAGAGCACCGCATACAACAATATTAAAACTGGCACATTAAAAAATATATTGGGGAATTGTAAAGATATGAGAAATAATATAAAATAAAATCATGTTAAATAAAATATAGTAGCGCAGGAATCTTACAGATAGTCGCGTCCGTAAAACAATATTTTTTTATTATAGTGTGGGTTTGCTTCCCACAGTAACTACCACCATTATTATAAAATTAAATATCTACTTTTGAATATATTTAGGAATGAATAATTAGAACTATATATATATATATATATATATATATATATATATATATAACAACCTTCATTGATCAACGTGTAACGAATACCAAATAAAATAGTATCTATATATATAAAAAAATAGTTTATGTGCTTTAGACCACACGATATAAGTGAAAACATTAACAAAGCGATATTAATAATATGAAATATAAATTACAAATAATAGCACATTACGAAAAAGATGAAATCGTGAACATTTCCCTCGCATACAGTATACAGATCCGATTTCTAATATCCGAAATATTTTAATCCATATGTTCAACTAACTAATTTGGTTTTCAACGCTATTTTTTTCTTTTATGCCTCATTAACACGGATGCGCGTTAAGATATAATTTTGAATTATAGCCTATTACAAAGGATGAAATGCTGAACAATTTCTATGCTAACAGTACGCACATACGCCGATTTATAGTTCCTGAGATATTTTAATCCATATGTAAAAATATTTTAATTAGTCGACTCTAGCTGACTTTACCCTAGCGCTAATGCCAAACGAAATGTGACGGATTGATCTAATTCACCCTCCACAAAACAGTGCAAAATGTGCCTAAAGAAGATTTTACTTCAATAAAATAATTGGAATAATAATTATTTTATTATTGCAGTATTAGTAATAATAATAATAATAATAAAAGGCTTAGCGAACCCGAAGGTTCGATGCCGACACCACCAATCGCTTATTACACACCTCCCTCCACCGTTCGCCGTCCAAATCCAGTCCCTTCAGATCGGCTTTAATGCAATCTTCCCACCTTCGCTTCGGTCTACCCCTTGGACGCTTACCATTCGGCACAGCAAATATTAATCTTTTAGGAATTCTTTCGTTACCAAGCCCAACAACTTTACAAGCCCATTTGATTCGCCGAGACGATATTACCTCAATTATATTACCCGGATATAGTTCACGGAATTCGGCGTTGTGTAACCGTCTGAAATCTCCGGTTAACTCATCCTTCTTGGGTCCGAATATTCTACGCAATACTTTATTTTCAAAAACCTTAAGACGCTGCTCATCCCTTAATGTAAGCGGCCAAGTTTCACATCCATAAAGAACTGTAGGCAAGATAATTGTTTTATAGATTCTAATTTTTAAATTCCGGGACAAGAGGCGCGAACTGAGGAGTTTTGTCACAGAAAAATAACAAGCATTTCCCGCCTTCAGTCTAACCTTAATTTCTTCTTCAATTTCGTTTTTTCTAGTTATCGTAGAACCTAGATACCTAAATTTATCTACCTGTTCAAACATATTACCATCTATATCGATATCACCAGTAGTATTGCCATTTTTGCAGCTAACCATATATTTTGTTTTATCCACGTTTATTTCGAGTCCTAGTTCTTTACCGGCTTTCATTAACGTTGTCGTATTTAGTTTTATAATTATCAGTAATAATAATTATTAATAATTATTTTATTATTACAATTATTTTATTATAAAGATATGCATGAAATATTTTATAGCATAAAGCCTTAAGTTTGCAAGTAAAGGCTTACGGCAAAGCCGACGTTAAACGAAGGTTTAACGTCAGACGGGTTAATCGCTCACCTGCATGCTGGAGGTTTTATGATTTGGAATTTTCCATTCATATTTTAATTACTTAAAGTGTCTTTTTTGAACTATCCTCTAGAAAAGTAGTACGTTTAAAACAAAATATATTTCGATGTTGGATCTTCCTATAATCATTTTATTATTATCCCTTTAACTATTATCTGATTAACTATCATCTTCTTTCTGCTGTATCTCGCCTTAAATACCCAGTTCCTGGTGACTAAAATTTTAGCGCAAATCAGATTATCTGACAATCATAATAATAGATTAATATTTAATAATATATTATTGTTTCAAGATAAAAGAAAATTGCGTAATTAGTAATCTAAATGAACTAGGGGAATTTTTTCATATTTTCGGTTCGATGCCCGATTTATACTCCTTCCCTCCATCATTTTGTCAGGATGGCCCGATCAGATTATACGGACCTTTCAAAATTAAAAATGGTAACTTCCTCATGAATTTGTCTTACTACACCAGGCAATGTTATGTTATTATCAAGGAGTATATTAACGATCTGTTTATATCAAAATTATGGTGTTGTTGTATGTTGTCAATCGTATTTTCTATTTATTTTACTCAAAAAATGCATGCACCATATATATTATTTGTACTAAATTATTTTAAAATATTTTACTTATATTGTATCGTGTTATATTATCTCGTGTTATTCTATCATACTATGTTTTATATACTTATCCCCTTGCACGTCTTTGGTTTCTATTTAAACATTTGCCATTGATATGTATTTCAGTACCATAATTTTCATTAGAAATCATTTGTATAAGATTGTTCATTTCAGTTCAGAAACATGAGACTAAAATCAGTGGCCGCTGTAATAATTTAAAAAAGTCGAAAAGTAGTTAATAGAACGGACCAGAAATGCCACCGTATCGTGTATAAATATATAAAAATAAATTCAACCTTTGGCATTCGACTGAATTCCTGAGAAAACTTAGAAAATCCAAACTTCAAAGTTGTAAGTAACAGCATGGATCATGTTATTGTATTCAGAGTTGTTTCATTATCATTCTTATGTAGACTAATAGTTTTAGCAACATGATTTCTTAATTGACAACTTAATTGAATTATATGTATAAAAACATTATATAAATTAAACAAAAGGTATGAAAACATCCAATGGTATATTCGAGCAATCTTTTGGAAAATGTTGTGCATTAAATTTTGCTCACATAATTGAATTTATGGCATAGGTACCATTGAGTTAATGTTTTTTGTTCATAGTTATATTTTTTCCCGATAATTTGGATATTATAGCAATATTTAATATTTTTAGTCCTAAATTCCTGCTTGAATCCGGCTATGAATGCGATGACCCTACAAATAGCCAGACTCATGCAAGACTGTTCTTCACTTTGGCATGAACAGTTCCGAGGGACCAATGGCGACCATCGCCAGGTCTGGAATTAGTCAAAAACTTCGTCAACAAGAAGAGGACTATCCACCTGAAGTCGGGGAGAGAGCTGCTGACACCTAGGGAACAGACATTTTTTTGAAGGGGTCCTCCCGTTCCTCACCTTTAAGGCTATACATGGTTTTCCCTGGCCAGGAGGTGAGTGCTGAGATTTAAAAGACTCCTTCAGCACTTGGACGAGAACTCGTGACTGGTTTTAATCCATTTATGTTATGTATCAGGTTGCCGGGCAACGGCGGTGATGTGCACACACGTTAGCCCGTTCGGCCACCTCCTCTCTCAACCTAGGGAACAGGCTGAACTCCTGTCCATAAACTAGGAAGCGAAGGATTCTGAGCAGACGAAAAATGCCCCACCAATACCGGAGGGACCACTGCTTTGTCCCAATGATGAACCTATCTTCTCTACCTTCAATCAACTAGAGTCGATACTACGGCGCACTAAAGGAAATAAAGCCTCAGGACAAAATGAAATTCCGTACGTTTTACTGAGGATGATACCAAGGAATGGTAATGCCTTCCTACTGAGCATTTTCAACTCATGCTTGCGAACCGTATACTTTCCCACCGCATGGAAACAAGCGATCTTAGTACCGTTTCTCAAGCCGGGGAAGAAAGATAATTCAGCAGAGCACTACCGCCCGATCAACCTCTTCTTGCTCATCAGCGAGGTCTTCGAGAGGCTAATTCTCCACCACCACATGAAGCACTGCAAGGAGGAGCATATAATAGCAATGGGCAGACAGGTTTCCTGCGAGGAGTCACCTGCGAACACCATCTTGCTAAACTTCAGACCCACACGATAGAATGAGTCCTAATAGAGCAATCATCTCTCTGCATTGCAGTCAGACCTTTGACTGCGTGTCTCCCACGCATCTAGTTCAGTTTTCCCAACACCCTATCCGACTGATTTGAATCTATGTTAGTGGAAGATCTTTCGTCATAAGTGTCGGTGGGGACTTTTCACCTCCAGTTCTCACTACCTGAGGCGTATTTGGTTTTAAAAAGTCGTATTGAAACCACAGGAGGTAATATTCTCTGTTGCACTTATAGTTGCATTTATACAATATTCTTATTCGGTTTAAACTTCGGATAAAATAGAATAAGAGTTACTTATAGAAACATTATATGAAGTGGATTCGTTTTCTTTTATGATAATTAATCTCGCGTTTTTGATGACCCTGGTAAAATCCTGTTACATCAAACCCACTATTCTTTGTACCCTTTATATAGAACTGTCACTATGACGGCATAGGTTTGGAGAAATTTAATTCGGTATAGCAGAGCTGCAATGTAATTTCGAACAATCCCGAGGGGGAAACAGCACTCTGACAAATGAAGCTTGTGATATAATTTGAAAGGTATTGATTTGAAATAAACACATCGCATTTCAATGAACGAAGCGGTATAATGTAATGTAATAAAATAATTTAAGATTGTTTATAGTTTTTATACAAAACACAAAGTTTCGCTAATTGATTTCATTTAAGAAATATTTACACCAATTAGCACAAATAGTAATTTATTTTATTTATATGCATTTTATTTAAAAAAATGTTTTTCCAATTTATGGGAAATTAAAAGTTACAGAAATTTTAATTTGTTTTAATAATAATTGCATATATTTTTTTCCAAGTAGTTTTATTAAGAGAACTTAATTTTTCTTCTGATATATTTATTCACTTGCTTCACACTTAACCATTTTTTTATAAGTAAAACTAGTATTGTTTGGTTTTGACATTCTGATGATATTGGATGTATCATGAGAATGTTTCATTGGTTTTTTCTTTAACACATGTAAATATAAGTATTATTTATTCATAAGTATTATTTATTTATAAGTATTATTTATTTACTATAAGTATTATTTATTTACTTTTTATATTTATAGTTACTTCTTTATTACTTGTATATATTGTATGAATGAGAACTTATAGCCTTAATACTTATAACCCTCCAATAGTGGCTGATTGTATTATTATTCAATAAAATAAAATAAAAAAAAACACATATAAAAGTTTCATGTTAGTATAGTGGAAAGAAAAAATGTGTTAATGAGTCTTGGGGAGTTATTTTATTTTGTTATTATGGTTTTTTAAATTGCTGATGTGAGATATGCTGTACATGTTCTGTCTGTAATTATATATGTGATGTGTTTGTCTGTCTTCGTGATGTCTGAATTGGTGAAATATTGAGTAGTTAGGTATTCAGTAAGCATTTAAAGAGACTTAAGGCTTTATGTCTGGAACCTTCCGATTTTATATATATTTTAAAAAAAATATAATCATGTTACATAACTTAATTATCCTTTTGATGTACTTTAAACAACTTATATTATACAAAACAATTATTTACGTATTGATTTGCAATCGATGATATCTTAATTTTTTTTTTTTGTAAAAGTACTTAAAATAAATAAATATAATAATAGATTAGACTAGAGAGTGACGAAATTTTATAATCGTATAACCATGCTTACACATCAGCTTTTACATGTAGCAAAACAATGTTTAAGAATGATCAAAATCGTTTGTGAAATCAGATTAAAACAAAAATCTTTCTCCTTTTTTTTTTTTTGTGCTCCTAAAGCGGAGTCGGATAAATGCTACTCTGAATATTGAGTACCAAGTATTTTACTAAAAATATTGACTTTTTTTGAGTACCAAATAATTGAATTACTACATCAGTTGATGTTGAACGATTAAATGAAGTAGTGATTGATTGAATTCCCAATAGTGATTCAATTTGAGTGAAATACTTGGTTCTTGGTACTGAAAGTAGCGTTAGCTCATCTCTGTTCTAAACCCGCGTTTACACATCCCATATAATCACAAGCCTGTAAAATGGGTGCCTTAAGTGGATCATGCGTGTTTCCCATAGTTCGTGGCCGATCCGTGAACTGTCTCTGTGTTTTTTAAAAATAGCTTTATATTTTTATTTACTTTTAAACCAAGATAAAGTTAAAAGAAGTTTAAACCAAAAAATTTCTTTGTAACAGAAATGTGTTAATACCCTTACCACCATTCCATTTATTTCTCTTTTTTGTTGCTCACCAAGATGTTGAATGTTAGTGCTTGCGGTGAGTAATGGTAGCCCTATAAAAATCAATGATTAATAAATTATTATTACTATGATAATTTATTAATCATATGACAAGATTTTTACATGCAATATGTTTTTTTTTTGTGCATGGTTGCAAGTCATCTTCATGGTTTGGCGTCATTGTGTTGTTGATATTTTTAACCACTCAAAGTATTTTCCCAATTGTGTAATTTGAACGTATAATCTCCAAGGATATCTTTGCATGATGTCGGAGGAATCAGAAAGTGTTCACGAAGAAATCGACGACGATTCCTTCGATCCTGAGGAGTGGATAGAATGGTAAGTGCTGTGTGTGTCTTAGTCAGTACTTTTGGTGTGCTTTGAAGATTACATTTGACGATTTTACAAGTTACTAGCTATGTTCAAAATGATCAATAGTCTAATCTAAGACTAGATTACATTGAGCGAATTGGCTATTTAAGTAAAATGAATGCGGGTTCGGGAATGGAACGTGTCATATAGTGAAGAAGTGATGATTCAAAACATTCCACTCGCTTAGTAGCCAACTAGCTAGCTAGGTTAAACCAGGTTTAATGTTCTTACTGTCGTATTTATCCGGTTATATAATATGTTGATATGGATGATGACAACGTTTTTCTAATTATAAGATAGAATATTTTGTTTTCATGGGAACTATAAAAGGAAAATAAATCATTGATTCTTCGGCTTATTATTGATTTAGCATTATGCCTCATTTTAAGCAGGGTAGCGCGACGATAACCGGTAGAAACCGCCACAGAAACTTCTATCTCGTAAACTGTTAGACAGTGTATTTGGGTTTTATTTCCTCAGTGAACCATAATCAGCACAGAAACATTTTTATGAAACTGGTAAAGTTTACATTTGATAAATGTAGGTTAACAGATAAAGAAAATGAGTGTTGACGAACAACACTCATTTGATATCTACTTATAATTCATTTATTTTATTTTCAACATGTACCTTTTATATTTTGTATCTTTTGTAGCCCTGATGAAGACCTACAAGGTGGATCGAAACGTCGGCGAAACAATTAAAAATAATATTTTTTAATAATTTAGTATTTATTTGACCTCACCCCCGACCAACTCCTTCTCATATTATATCACGGTCAACCATCTCTACATAATTAACATTTTATAGCTCAGACATAAACGAGATATCAGATAAATGGCTTCACTATATATATTTCTGGCTTTATGATTTAAATAAAAACCACTAAATTTAATTTAAATAGTTTTATTAAAAAATGTATTCCATTTAAATATTAAACTAGAATATTTAATGAGAGAGGGATTGGGCGCAATGGTGGTATAGCTTCATAAGCAGCAACGGTTTGCAGTAACGGCTGACTGTACTTGCATCTCTACCTGAACCCCTTGTATTTGTTGTTATTCAAGTTAATGTCAATGAATATTGAAACTTGGTGTAGTAGTTGAGTACACTTACAAACCCGAACGATACTCAAGACTTCTGGCTATACATAAATTTACTCTTTGTATGATTACTGGCACAGATGCCAGGAGCTTTCCTCTATGCTGACATGTGCAGTTGCAAGCGACGGAATGTACTTGTTACGGCCAAGTTTCCATATTCATTGACATAAACTCAGCTAACAACCCACCAATGTGTTCAAATAGATAAGCTTGTATATTCTTTCCCTTAAGGCAGACACGGTTATTTCCGTAGTTATTCTTAAAAATTAATTAAATGTTTTTATTAAAATATTTTTTTTAATCTCCAATTTCAATTTAATTATAATACAACAGACGGTTTTTAAAAGATTTTGTGCTCGAATTGCTTAAAACACTCACAGAGTAATTTGAGCTACATGGTTAAAATCTAGTCAAGCAGTTTGCTCAAAAAATCGTTATATATCTTTTTAAACGGACTCGCTAAAGACATTTAATAATTTGAACGTGTTTGGTGCTGAAATTGTTTGGTCGCTGATAATAATTTGAGATATCAGACTTAAAAATAGGTTGAGTCATTCGTTCAAAAAAAAAAAAAAAATCGGTTACATACCAAAAACCTCAAATAATTATCCTTCTTGTGGCAATGTTGTTATTTCGTTTACATGAGTTGTTTTTGTTGAAATAACCTTGTTAATGAGAAATAAGACGAAGGCATCTGACGTTAATGGGCTCTGACGAAGACATCTGCAGAATGACTAGATCGGGTTGAAATGAAAATCTTAGGATAATAGCACCTAAACTGGAGGAAGCAGTTCCCAGCTTGAGAACGAACAAGGAAGTATAGTCAATGTAAGGCGAACTGTCCATCTCCGGATTCGGTTAAGAGATATCATGAGAATGGTTGAAGCCAGGACAGCGAGAAAGCTTTATCATGACAAAACAGAGGAAATTAGTTCTAGGTGAAGACCGAAAGCGAGATGGATTGATAACGTAAAAGAAGATTTGAGAAAAAATGGCGCATCCATTAGGTGCGCAGCCAACAAGGACAACTGGACAAAGGAAATGGAGCAGACCATGGACCGCTACGTGCTTCTGTTGCGCCAACAATGAATGAATGATCCTCGTTAATAAATATCTATCCATAACACATCCATTACAGATCTTTTAGTTCTTTGCCCCTCTTGACTAGTCTCCACCTCTTATTATCTTAGGCAATTTCTTTCCAGTTTTCTGCATCCAGAAATATATTTTTTTATTTGATCTATTGATTAAGTTTCCCGTTTGGTCTTCTGTGGTGGATTGCTCCGAGCTAAATGCCCCGCCCATTTTAACCTCCTTGGCTTCATATCATGAAATTGTTATTCATTGTTTAAATTCTTTTGTTATCAAATATTTAAGATTATTCCAACCAGGGAATAACCCGAAGACATAATCAGACTACCAATAAAGATTTAGGATTTGTGACTCAGTGACAATGGCTTAGATCTTAACAACCCAAAAATAGCTGACTTTTACTTTTATGAATGACATACGACTCATGCAATTTATCAAAACCTGCAGTAAAAATAAAAAAGGTAGGGAGAGAAACAGTTATCTACATTTGATAAAATCTGAGGGTGGTTGCTATCTTGCGCAGCTGTGTACTCTAGTCATGCTTTCCCTCATATCGCGGTATAAGTTACAAGTTATTCATCCTTTAGACATTTAGATAAAAAAAAGATTTATGACGGTTATTTTATCAGATGAACAAATTTTAAATAGAATAGTTAAACCTTTTATAACCCATCGATAATAAAATCTTGCCTATCGAATAAACATTACAGTTTTAGTGGTAATATTTTCTGTAGAAATTTAGTACTGGATACCTAAAACATGAAATTTGATGGCGCTAAAACCAGTTTTAATACGGTTTTGTGCTCCGATGACGGCTCATAAAACCTTCAATACAGGTACTGGTACTGGCAAAGAGGGGAGAACGAATTCGGCATGTGGGTCTATTGTACTTCTTTGCCAACCCAAATAAAATGAAATGGGTACTTTTCCGTTAGCCGAGCGTAAAATAAATAATGTAGTATTCCGCCAAATTTCTTACAACCATAAGGTTCTTTCTTACTAAGGTTATTTCTTCCAACCATGTTCTTTTGGGACCTTGTGCTCTATTCTCTGAATGCATTCAATACAAAGCACGTTTGCCTTATTTTTTTTTTTTTAAATGGTGAAAATTTGGGATTTAGCCAGAATTGAAGAAGATGCAGTCTCTTTTTTTCAAGAGAAAGGTATATTTGCAAAGAATGCAACATATGATAAGAATCATAGTATTTGTTTATAGTTGAACGTTTTAGACTTATATTTCATTGGCTGTGTTTTCATTCGCTTCGCTTGGCAACTTGGCTCGCGTTTAGTTCACAATTGGCAACATTTGCGCCCGGCTAATTGAAAATTATCATTAAATGTACCAATGGACTCGATTTATCCTCCATCTCGAACCTTTAGTTTTTCTAATGAAATTTAAAAGGGACAGCCAATCGATGCAGGAAACCTTCTGTCCTAAGATTCCATCAGAACTTAGAATGCTATACCTAAGGGACGCGAAGCGTTCGCATTCTGCTATGTAGTGTAGAGCAGTTTCTGACGCCTTCCTGCACAAATGGTAGGTTTCTACTGTCTACCTCGTAGACTTTAAATGCCTTTTAAGTCAACAATGGCCTGTCAGGGCTACGATTGTTAGTCTAAGTGCATTTTTGTTTAGACTTAACAGCCACTTGATTGTAGTGAATGAGAATTTTTTAATGAATTGCTTAGCTTGCCTTATGACCGCGGGATTTCTTACTAGCTTCCTTCCATGCCCAATCAAAGGCTTATTTGTGTTGGCATCTCTTGGAGATACCTAATGCAGATTCTAATCCAGTAAGGGAAATCTACCTAAAAACCTTAAATAAATAGTCAATAAAATCCGTTTTGAGTTTTAGTATAAAAAGAGGATATAAATATATTTCTGATAATTGTTTGGAAAAAAAAAGAAGTAAATTTTAGTTGAAATAGAATTCATATTATAAAGAAATGTAGCAAGGTTGAGATTGCGCACTTTTGAAATTATATAAAAAAAGGTTCATATTTATTTTTAAAAAACTGGAAATAAAGTGCATATTGGAAGTATGGTGGGGACTGAGAGTGTGGCTTCAGTCTATGGTGGCGTAACGTATACCGCTGTCAAACACAATGCTATCAAATTTATCTTAGCGCTATCTTTATATATATATATATATATATATATATATATATATATATATATATATATATATATATATATATATATAAGTCCGAAATTATATATGTATATAATATATATATATATATATATATATAAGATAAAGACCGGAGACTGGCGGTATCAGCCTTAATACTATCTGGTAATGTAAATAAACATGCTAAGTGTATATAAGGAGGCTTATGGAACGAATAAAGCAGTGTTTATTCAGAAGTCGTGTATGTTACATCTCTTCCCTTTTCCTTCTTTTTTTTTATTTCTCGAGTCCAACGACGCTTAACTGGTGCCGAAACCCGGGAAAACGTCAGGGAAGTAATTTTTTTTAAGTAGATATTTTTTTTTTTTTGTTTGTTGGTGTTTAAGGAAAAGGCGAGATGCCGACAGAAGGTTTGATTAGACCGGGAGTACTAAACGTACCGGAAATTCCTCAACCTCAGGATATTCCACAGATCAACCAGGTACCCCAGATCGCGCCTCAGGTACCTCAGATACCTCAAGTCCCTCAGGTAGCACAGATCCCTCAGATCCAGGAGATCCCTCCATTACCAAGGGACACGTTGGCAGAAGCACACGCCAATGCCTTGGAATGGATGAAAATAAGAGCAACAACCACGCAGGACTTACGGAGGGCCATTGCGGACCTAGAACGCTTCGGAGGCGAGGTAGG